TGCCTTCCACCAACGAATGGGCACAACCCGTTAAACAATGAAAGGCTCTTGTGTCTCTGCCTCTCCTTCTGGCAGGGCTGCTCTTTCCAAGTGCTTTTAATTACCGCTTTATTAGCGACTTTGAGGTTTAGCATAGCGGACCGGCCTTCCCAACTCCGTTTCTGCATGTTCAGCACAAGCATCTCCGGGCCTGCCGGCGGCTGTGCTTGGCCCTACCTATGGGGTTGGTCTCTGCCTGTCACCGTGACACCGTAGCAAGGGGACACAGGGGCTGCTCTGCCAGCAATCCGAGCTGCCTGCCTGCCTCCCTGCCTGCTGCACGACCACATCAGCCCAACCGCGCGAGCTCCGCTAGGACCGATGAGTCTTGCTTGGGTCCCGAGCCCCACGCTTGCCCCGAGTGGACAGGGCGGGGTGAGCTCACCCAAACATGTGCTGCTCTCCCTGAACATCTTCGAGCGTGAGGCACGGCTGCCTCAACACTCCTGGGGAGGATGAACAGACAAAATCAGGTGCAAACCCAGACTCTGGGTTTGAAACGTGCACCCCTAGGACCTGGAGCTCACAGTTCCGAGGTGACTGGCTGATAAAACTGCGAATGTGCCTTCGTGCAGCTCTCCCCAACCTCCCTGCAGAAGGGGAGCTCTCACCGAGGGCTCAGACACCAACTGCTTGTTTCCACTCAAATTCAAGCCCCCGCAGTCCCCACCTTGGCACGTGGAGGGGCACAGCTGGAGGAGAAGGGAGCCCGGGGAGAGACGGGCTCTGCGAGAAGGGCAGGGGCAAAGGGCCTCGTGAAACGGCGCTACGAAGGCGGGTAAGGACGGATGTGGAAAAATCCCCCGAGCCCCAGCGTGCTGCTATTCTGTCGTGCTTTGCGGCTGGGGGAGATGCCAGCAGAGCTCTTTGAAGCTCTGGGATGGTGCATCTACCAACCGCTTGGTCCCCCGCCCGGGGAAGGCAATGTCACCTCCGGGGGAGAACACAGGAGTCCCTTTTTGTCATTGATACTGAGAGCCAGGATGCCAAACGGCCTCCTTAATTAAAAACCAATCAATCCCAAGAACAAGCAAACATTAACGGTAACCGCACACAGCCCCAGCAACAACCTCTCCCTCCACATGTCCCCGGGGAGGAGACAAGGGGGGGATGTTCAGAGATGGGGACTCTGCTGCTCCGGCTTCCCACTCCAGAAAAAAATCCCTCCCCGCTCTCCTCCAACAGCCCTGCACAATAACATGCAAATCCCGAGTCTTCCTGGGGCGCTGCGGTTCTGGGAATGTCAAAATCATCTTTATGTCTCTATTAAGAGGGAGCCCCAGGCATGGAACTTTTTTTTTTTTTTTCCATTTATTTTCCTCAAACAGCCTATAAGTGAAAATCTTCATGGCCAAATCATTAAACGACTACAACTGGTTTTGGCCGCAGCCCATCTCCTCTGAACAGTCGAAGGATGCTGGGGTGGGAAGGCTTTTCTTTGACTGACGGTTTTATTTAATTAACTTTCATATTTCAATCCTCTCCGCTCCCCAGACAGCTCTCCCCTTCCCCAAAATATATCGCAGTAAATGAGAACCATGCAGGCTGCCTCAGCCCTGGCCAACAAAGTCCCCTGGAAGTGTTACCGAGGTCCCCAGCGCACAGCCCAGCTCTCCCCTCGCCCTGTGGAAACCGCGGCCGATGCCGTCCGGGGGCGGGCAAAACCAAAACACACCCAGGGGCACTGGCTGGCAGCCGGGCCCCGTCCGTGGCCCCGGGTGGCTGGGTCATGCCACGCCGGGGGCAGGAAGGACGGACTCGGCCCTGCCAAGCTCTGGGTCTGGGTTCGGGATCTGGTTTGGCCCACCAGTGACATGAGTCCGCAGGGCTCAGCCTGGCTCCCGCCCGGATTGCAGGGCCATTGTTTTAGGGGACAAACCCAAGCCAGGCTCTTCTGCTCTGGAATTTATCCTGGTTCCAGGATGGAGTTTTCTTAAAAACTCAAAGCCTGGGGATGACTTTTCCCCTCTAGCTTTTTGCTCTGGAGCCCCGTCACCCCACCACCCCCACGGGGATGTCTAACCTCGACGGCTGCCCCCCGCCCCGCAGCAACACTCAGACCCTGAGCCGTGGGGAGGCAAAGGGGGTGCCCTTGCACCCCACCGAGGAGCTCTGCATCCCTCCCCGTGCACCGCGGCAGCTGCCCAGGCCGCAGGAGCCCACCACCACCTCCGGCACAAAGCTCGTGGCACCTTGAAACAAGCAACCCCACCTCGAGCTCTACAGGGAAAACATCACACCAGGGAACTGTGGCATTTCCAGGGTGTTTTCTCCCCTCTCAGACGCCTCTTCTCTCTGCCTGAGGAGGCCGCTTCTTTCAGCTCAGCCTCCAAAACGGGTAAGGGCATCATCCCCCACCAGATCCCAGAGCCCACCGAGCTGGGAACCTGCCGGCCTCTCGCTCCTTCCCCGGCAGCCCCGAGGCTGCTCCCGGGCAGGCGATGGCCCCAGGGAAGGCCAGAGGAGGGTCGGAGGTTCGGCATCGTCTTCACAGAGCTTCTGGAAAGGGGATTTTTTTTCCCAGAAAAGCAGCAGGGGTGTGCCCTTCCCCATCTGACATCCCCAGCAAGCGGCTGTTGTGAAACACCCCATCTGTTTCAGCTTATCCAGAGGCAAATAAAGATCGGAGCGAGAAAATAAGACTCCAGTGTATATTTAGAAATGCTGGATTTGGTTAGCGCAGAATGAAGGCAGCGCAGGGCCTGGGATCGAGCAGCAATCGTTTATTCTAATGCCATTGCTTTGGTGCGAAGGAATCCATCCTCCTGGGGAAAGGCGAATGCATCCCACCACGGGCCACCAACAGGATCCAAACCCAACGTCCCTCTCCCTGGCTGGGACCGGTTGCCACGTGGCCACGAGGCCAGGCCACAGGGCAGGGGCTGCAGCGGGGCCGTGCCTCAGCCACACCATCAGCTTGCTGAGGAGCCGTTTGCCTTCCCCTGGGGAAGAGCTTTGCTGCCTGGAAAAGAGGATGAAGAGGAGGGGTAGCTTTCTTCATCAGCTCCCCTGAAATCCGCCTTGGCTGCGGGGACCGGGTCCTGTGCTGCAGCCAGCCTGGGTGCATCCAGCCATCACTGGTCACAGACCAGAGCGGGGAAGCGTCCGTCCCTCTGGGACCCTGGAAATCCCCAAGCCTTGCTGAGATGGGGCAGGAGCAGCTGAAACCTGCCGCCGATCCCTGACAACCCGCCTCTCCCCAGGCCCAGGCCAGCGAGGCAGGGGCGTGGGTCTGCAGCCTGGTTGCGTTCTCCCGACGCCTGGATACGGCCCGTGGCACGAAGCGGTGGCGCGGTGGCACTTCTGGGAACCATCGGTCCTATCGCCCCGGTCACGGTTAACCGGAGTTTGTCTTTCTGCCGCGCCGACGGCTCTGGGTTGTCAACTCCCTCGGAGGAAGGGCCACCACGGGCTCGGCGGGGTGGTGGCACCGCTGCCCGCTCCTCCGGCCCTCCCGCCCCTGCCCGGGGCTGGACCCGCCACAGAGCTCTCCTGCCAGCACGGCTGAAGCCAGTTCTGAGGGAAAGGCTATTTTTGGGGCTGTAACAGGGTTAAACTGGGCACTTGCTGGCTTGTTTTGAGCCGTGCTCGCAGTTGGGAGGTTTTGTTTGTTGTTTTGTGTTTTTTTTTTCCACACCCTGAACTGAGGCAACTTGTGAACGCAGAGCAGTCCTGAGCGAGGCAAGATGCCGCGCAGCGGAGCGGCACAAAGCGTGCTGAAGTCAGCAAGCTCCCACCAGCCTCCCACCTCCTTCCAGCACCGCTCAAGAAAAAATGTCATAGACTGAACAGATCATATTTTAGAGTGTTGTCAAGGGAACGTGACAGGCACTGCAAGACGTACCTGCAGGCACAGCCGCAGCTACATCCGTACTCGCCCGCTGCCCTGCCCTCCTCCGAGATCGGTCTGTGCCACACGCAGCCGGCACAGCGGGGGACTGCCCCAAGGTCCCGATTCTCCAGCCCAACAAACTTGTTTTGTCACCTGGGAGCTGGTCCAGCTCCCCCCTCGCTCATCTTCGAGGCAAACCTGCTTCCACCAACCTCACGGCAATGCTCTTTGCTTTTTAGCGCCGAGATGGGCCTCAATTAAACTTCCACAATTAAGACTCCCAGCACAAGAAATGTCTCGTAAAACGACACTCCACCACAAACAGAATTTCACAGAGCAATTACGCCAGCGGCTGAGACCTTTACGACGCCTTTGTATGGCAGCTTGCACATGGGCCCCTATTCCAGGCCTGGGACTCTGGGCTGCTCCCTCAATTCAAACAAAAAATACCCCAAGTCAAGAGTGAGGGGAGCAACTGAAGGAGGAAAGAGAGGAATGCAAGCGCTGAGGCTGGAGGGGGGAGAAGAGAGCACCGCACCTCTCCTCCCACAGTATTTTAAATGAAACAGCTACTTCGGGCTTGTTTTTTTTTACGTTATAAATGCATCGCAGCTGAAGTCATCTGGAAACCAACAACGACAACACCGAGCGTCGGGGAAATAAAAATGTTTGCGACCAGTTCTGGCCCTACAGCCCCCAGCTCTGCTCCAAGGCTGCCTCCCCAGGATGCCAAGGCAGGCAATGAAGATGCTGGTTTGTTTGTGTGCTGTTTTTTCACCTGCCCACTGCGTGCAGGCCGGGAGCTGGGTCAGGCTGAGCTCCTCCAGGTCTCTGCAGGACAATGTCCTGGCTGAGGCTCTGCTGTTGTGCCACCTGTTTTCCCGGGGCGAGCTGCGTCGCTTCTCCAGGCTGGCTCGGGGACTTGAGCTTTTTTCTTGGCTTGAGGAAGGTCCTTTAGGCTTTAACCTGCTGCTCTCCACTCCTCACTCACATCTCTGTGACATGCCTGATATTCTGCCCAGGGTGAATTTTGGAGCACTGGACAGGGGATGCAAAACTTCACAGCAAGAAGACCTGGCACCTAACTGCAGAGTTCTTGCTCAGGTAACAGGCTGCAGCTTGTGCAGAGACTTGCAGGATGGCTCTGCGTTGAGTCCTGGTGCTGATCAAAAAGTATCGACCACAGGATTAAAAAAACTCTGACTTCCTCTCTTTATTCCCTTTTACACTGAAAAGGTTTATGATTTGCTGCTGCTTCATTCCTTTTACGGTCCAGGAGTGTTCCTGGAGGGACTTTCAGCTTTGGGACATTCCCAGGAATCACCTTCTGCCACGGCCAGGAGGGATGTTGGATCGAACACACAACTCGATGCCTCCACGAGGCTCACAGCTGCCAGGGCACCGACTTTCTCTGCGCAGACCCCACAGCACCAGGCCCTGTGCGACTCACTGCTGGAGAACCACAGGGCTCAGCCCTGCTCCACGCTCCGGCCTCCTCTGCTCGCAGGAGACCCACGCCCGCGATGCTGCAGGCCCTTTACCTCCGGGAAAGCATTTCCCAGAAATTAAGGAAGAGACGTGGAAGGTGGGGGTGAAATTCCGCCTGGGGCACCTTTGCTCTCTGACAGTGCAAGGGAGCTCTGTTCAGATCCCACCTCTGCTCTTCCCGGGCTCCTTGTGGCTCGTCGGACCAGGACCGACCTCCCTCCACACCATCCTCTGGGCTGGGCTCTGATCTCTCCACTGCTCACAAAGCATCACCTTTTGCTCCAATTCGATTTGGGTTTTGGCAGTGGAAAGGGCAAAGCTGCCGGGTTTGTAGGGAGCCTCCAGACCACTGAGGCTCAGCCTGTGCTGGGTGGGCTCTTTAGCAATAAATTTGCGATTGCAGCTAATTGATTTAAGGCGCAGAGAATGAGACACATGAGCCCTCAGCCAGCTGGGACCAGGCTAGCAGCCCAGGATCTTCGTGTACAGCTAGTGTAAAAAAAAAAAAAGAAGAAATAAAGGCTTCTCACCCGCTTCGTTTCAGGCACCAGGTCGTCCTTCATCCTCCGCTTGGTCCAATCCTTGGCGAGCTCGTCCTCCGCTATCTCCTGAAGGTGGAAAACGGCTACTTGGGCTGACGTCCGACGGATGCGGCCACTTGGGGTCCTTTCAAAATCTTCTACGGGGCTGGGCTCCGGCTTCACCTCTGGCTCCTCCGGAGGCTGCAACAGAGACAGAGTCAGGAAGGGCATGACCTGGGGTGAAGCAGCGAGCGCTCCCGCCCCGGGACAGGGCTGCTGGGGTGTAGGCTGTGCATTTGCAGCCCTGACGTTGAGCTAAAGAGTTAGACCCATTCCACAGATTGTGAAGGCTCATGTGTGCAGGCGGGGGCCCGTGCACCCGAGCACGGAACCAAGGGGAGCCCCCCCCTGCCTCCCGCAGCCCAGCAGACAGCCATGCCTCAGACTGACTGCGTCCTTCCGCGCTCCCACGTGTATAAACGTCTCCGTTTATTAGAGTGAGAGAGTTATTAGCGTCAGATGCACTGTCAGTAGGGATCAACAGAACAGAAAAGGATGGTCCCCAGGGATGGATCCTGCCACCCCAGCGCTGGCAAGGAGCCGGCACTCGCTTGCTGCCAAGGGTTTTTTTTTTTTTTCCCTGCAGAGCAGGGATGCAGGGTGGGCTGGAGCACAGCCCTGCGGGCACCAGGGAAGGGGAATGCTGCCGACTGCCCGGCTCCCCGAAACGCGGCTGCTTCAGAGGTGGGGGGAGGCAGGGGGCTGTAGCCCGTTTCACACCCTGACAACGCATGGTACAACGCACGCGCGTGGTGACGTGAGGGAGAAAACAACACCGGTCCGATGTCTGCACCTGCCTTGCCCGGCCCGGCCCTGCCCGGCTCTGTCCTGCCCACAGGCTCTGCAGCTCTGCAGTCACCCCCGGGGGGGGATGGCCCCGCTCCTCGGGCTGCGGAGGCGTCCGGGGGGCTCACCGAAGCCGCGTGTTCTGACCGCACATGGTAGTCGTGGCCGGCCTTGGATTTATACTTCTTGCCGCAGTGTGGACAGCTGAAGATGGGCTTGTCAGCCTCGGCGAGCTGCTTCCCACACCGCTTCTGGTGGTACTGGTAGCCCATCAGGCTGGAGAAGTTGGCCACACAGCCCTAGAGAGATGGGGAGGAGGGGAGGGTTAACAAGGGCTGGGGTTTCACGTGCCCACGTCGAAACTGTCGGGGTGTTGTCGCTCCAGGGAGGAATGCGTCCTGAGGAGCGCCCGCTCCTCATAGCAGCTCCCTCAGTCTGTTCCCTCAAAGCAATGGGGCACCACCAGCCGGCCCCTCTCCCTGCAGGAGCCACGCACACACAACAGTGTCACAGAACCATCTGGGTTGGAAAAGCCCTTGAAGCTCCTCCAGCCCAACCATGACCCTCCCCCTGACCGTTCCCAGCTCCCCCAGATCCCTCAGCGCTGGCTCAGCCCGACTCTTCAACCCCCCCAGGGATCCCGGGGACTCCCCCCTGCCCTGGGCAGCCCATTCCAACGCCCAACAGCCCCTTCTGCACAGAAATCCTTCCTCAGAGCCAGCCTGACCCTGCCCTGGGCAGCTTGAGGCCATTCCCTCGGGGCCTGGCGCTGGGGCCTTGGCTCCAGAGACTCACCCCCCCTCTCTGCCCCCTCCTGGCAGGGAGTTGCAGAGGGCCAGGAGGTCTCCCCTCAGCCTCCTCTTCTCCAGACTGAACCCCCCCCGTTCCCCCAGCCGCTTCCCAGCAGACCTGTGCTCCAGACCCTGCCCCAGCTCCGTTGCCCTTCTCTGGCCACGCTCGAGTCATTCAATGGCCTTTTTGGGGTGAGGGGCCCAAACCTGAACCCGCTCATCGAGGTGTCACAGAGGGACGGCGGGAGCAGCCCCCTTCCCCGGTGCTATGGGCCCCGACACAGCGACAGAGCTCCCCGGACAGACAGGCAGCGGGAGGGGAAAGCAGCGGGGAGGCACTGCCTGCGCAGAGAGCAAAGCGTCCGCGGGGACAAACCTCTGCCACACGCCCCCGTTACCTGTTCGTGACTTGTCTGCCACCGGCTCGCGACCGTTTTTCGGCGCGGTTTGGTTTAGTTTTACACTGTGCCCAGGACAGCGCTGGCTGTGCCCCTTCCTGAGTTCAGGAGGCAGAACCTGCCCTTCAGTGCTCCTCAACCTGCCCTACACCCACCGTCCTGCCGTCTCCTGCCGGAGAGCGCCCGTCTCCCTCTGCATCGGGTCTCACTCCTTCCATCTTTGCACAGAACGAGAAACAGGAATCGTTCTCGTACCTCATTGGGGCATTTCAGTTTTCCCATCTGCTTTAGCACTTTCCTCAGCCTTTCCCGCTCTTCCTGTTCACCAAGTCCAGCGTTTTCCACAGGAACAGGCTGGAAACAAGGAAGTAACAGAAGCGACCGAGTCAACCATTTACTCATGTCCTCTGTGCCAGGAGTGGGTGGTAAATCTCTGCCCCCCTTGGCTGGGGGGCACCTCTCGTGAGAAGAGCTGCATCTCCCACTGCTTTTACCGCGTGTCAACGCCTTCACCGTTTGGTGCCAGATCTGCTCATGCGTTTGTGCCCCAAGGGCCAACTGAGAAACCCAGGAGCAGATCCTGCACGGAGGATTCACTGGCCAGACTGAAGAGCAGGAGATTAACGCACAGGTAAAAGACAAGTCACAACTGGTAAGCACGGGACATGGGGTTATGCCTTGCCCTGGTACCTTGGAGATGTACACAAGCAGATTTTTAAGAACGGCATCTAAATTGGTGCCTGCCAGATTTTAGTCACGATAAATTTTGTGGCTATTTCTCACATGCACGGCGGAGCATTACAGACTGGATTTTGTGATTTGTGCAAGGCAGAACCCATCAGTCCTGGATTTGCAGGCGCAGTTTTGGAGGCAGAGCTTTGCCACTTAAAATCCACCTTGCCATACTCACTGAATCTTCCCCCTTTCTGGGATCTGAAATCCTGTTTTATTTTTTCAGCCCTCTGCTCTATTCCCCAGGATCAGCGTGAACCTAAAACTAGCTGCCTGGGAAGGAATGGCTTTGCTCAGCAGGGAAAGGGGGAAGGCCACCGTCTGGAGTGAGCAGTAAGTGAAACGTTGGGAATTCTTTACAAAGACAAAGGAAAGCGGACGGCCGACGGCTTCATCTTCTGCCTCGAGAAACGAGGCGCGAGACGAGAGCAGCCCAGCTCTCTTACCTTGCTGACGTGTTCAGCCATGGTGTGGTAATTCAGCCCAGCTTTGGACTTGAACTGCTTTTTGCAGTGCTGACACTTCAAGGCATCCTGCAGCTGAAGGAATTAAAGGCAAGTCACCGCGGAGGCCGCAGTCCACCATTTGGTTTTCCCGGGGCTGCTGCTGCCTGTCAGTAAGCCCCACGGGTAGCTGTCGCTGCAGCAGAACCCAGCGGTGGGACCCAGCAGGCCCTGTTCCCCATCCCAACCTCAGCCTGTTGTCCTGGATACTGTTATCAAATACACATGTCCCAATTTTTGGAAAAAATTCCTTTCTGGATGTAGATTTAAAGCCCCACTGGCTGGAAACATCTGGACCTGGTGTCTTAGTCTTCCTGTTAAAGGGTTAGGAAAGAGAAGATGCTTTGATCTACCAATATGTTAGTGGACTGTGCTCTGCAGCCCTGTTAACTACGGCAGATGCTGGCGTACAACATGCTTTCTGGGCGCCTGGGCTGTTTGAAATTTGGACGCTGCTGGACACGATCACAGCAGAATACTTCCCGCCTCACACTGCTCTGCTGTTTGACCCGACTTGGCCTCCTGAGTGACTGGGGAGATGCATTAAATCCACACACCAGCCTACGAGGGGAGCTTGTAAAGTGAAAAAGCAGATCGTGACTTTTGCTGGGGCAGGTACCAGAATTTATTGACTCAGGAGGTGAATGCTCTGGGCACCAAGAGACAGGATGTCTCGACAGGGAGCTGGTGCCTGGACAGCCGTGGCCGTTCCTGCTCTTTCTGCCTGCCTGATACTCTACCTTCACCACTTCAGTCAAGCCTGGGCTTGAAGCTGGAGAGGGAATGAAGATGGAGCTGCAAACCTCATCCTGGAGCTCTGGGGAAATGAAGAATAAACTCACTGCAGCCAGTTGGAAACAACTCACTTGTACCTGTGCTCCTGTCAGTTAATCTTGTTCCAGACCCAAGCGTTTGATTCTAACCAGATGGATGCTAAAAGCTCCTTGACCAGCCAATTTGGGGTTTACTCCTCTGGTCAACACTGAAGAACATGCCACGTCCATATTCCAACGAGCCCTCCCACCCGGGACGCTGGGAGGACATACCTGCCCTCATCTCCTTCAGGCCCAAGCGTGTTGCAACCGTCCCCAGCCCTTATTTCCTTTCCAAAACCAAAGGAAATGGGGCAGACTGCTTAGTGACAAGGAAGGAACGGAGAAACCGATTTCCGTTGTTTTATAAGAGTTTCGGGAGCCTGCACATCCTTTTCCCATGGTCCAGCTAAGAAATACTTCAGGCATTAAAGCGGAGAGTGAGCTGAGAGGCTGCCTGCACTCCAGGGTCACTTTTGATGTATTCTGACGATACCCTGAGCCTGTAGCAGCGGGGCCTCGCTAAGGACGTGCTACAGCTTCACCTCACAGATGAAATCCTGAGAGCTGGACCTGTGGTCACACTCTCCAGAGCTCGGGGACTGTCCCCCCTGAGCCACAAGCTGCTCTGGCAGGGACGCTGCAAAGCACCCCAGCTCCTGCAGCAGCACAGCCAGCCCTGGCAAGGATTGTCCCTCCTAGGGAAGGGTGACAAAACACGCGCTCCTTGGGCTGGAGCCCTGATTCCTCAGCTGAACACCCACTGGCCTATTTATAGTGGGGAAGACACGCCTGACTGCTCTGGCAGAGTCACGCTCGCAGGCCGGCCGGCCGTGCAGCCCGCATGGAGCCTGCCTGGCTCCAGAGATGCTCCAAAGCACGGGAGATCTGAGCGGTGGTGGCCAAGATCCTCACTCCACTGAAGCCAGGAGGACGTCAGAGGAGGCAGGATTCTGCCCAGCATCGATGTAGTGGGAGGTTTGAAAGGGAGAGTAGCCTCCCACTGGTGTATAAATAGCGAGGCAAAGGCTGAGGAGGCATTTACAGAAAAATGAATGTGGAATCAAAGCCGAGCCACATATTTTCAAAGCAGGAGGCATCGATCCCGCGTTGGCTTTCCGTGGCGATGGCTCTGCACTGCGCCAGGTGACGGATGAGGATGGAATCCTGTGCTCTGATGGATGGCGGTGTGCCAGAGAGACAATTCTTCACTGCACCATTACTGAACTCCTGCGTCTTGACAGCCTGCCTGAGCACAGCCCAGCTCGGTGTCTCCCCGAGATGTGCTCTCATTCACCCACAATTTATCTGGCCTGATGCAAAGCATGGCACACACCGAGATCCCACAGCCAGGACTCTGGGGGAGGCCAGATTAGAGACAAGCCCAACAATCTCTCCAGCTTTAAAACTATTCATTTAGCTACTAGAAACACTTGACTCTGCTGGAGACACTGGGGCAAAGGGCCCAGACCACAAAGGGATTCAGAATAGCTGAGAATTATGTGTCCAAATCCCTCTGAATCGATGCGAGGCAGCCAGCAATCTGAGGATGACTAGCAAGTGCTCTATCAAACGCAGCCCAGAACTGGTTTTAGGAGCACTGATACACATTTCTGAGCAGCACACGTACACATCCATTCCTCTCCAAAAGTGCCTGATTGAATAAAGCAAGTCCTTACTTTCTGGCAGACGTCCATGTGCTTTTTGAGCCCCACAACAGTTTTTCTGGTTATAACGCTGCAGGTTGGACAAGCGACTTCTCCCTTCTCGCTGATCTCCCGCTGCCACTGGTCCTCAGGGCTTGCTGGTGAGGGAGAGGGGAGAGGTGTTACACCTGGCTGCAGAGACCACAACCTGCCCGGGCTGCTCGGCAGAGGACAGCCCTGTCGTAAGCCTTGATTTGCTACTCTGAAAAGCACTGAAGTCGGGAAAATTCCTGATGTCAAAAAGAAAAAAAAAAAGATAAATACTCTCCCAGGCATGGGCCAAGCCAAAACTGAACACAAACCATGCAGGAATTTGCAGCTCTGCCTGTCCCACGGCTCCTGCCATGAGCAAATTGGGTCACTGGGCCACTTTACACGGAGTTACCTGACCTGTCAGCATTTCATGGGGAAAAAGAGGTTCACCTTTCCAACCCCGCTGGTATCCTGCATGCTGGGAGTTAAAACATGATGATGCCCTCAGCCACTTGATCTTCCCTGTGTGGAATAACTCCCCTCTGCAAACAGTTAGCCGGAGCGAGACAAAGGTGAGAGGCTCAGCTCCATCCAGACGAGTGCCTGGAAAGCTTCCCTGGCAATCCTCCTCCCGTCAGACACACAGGCAGCGAGGGGAGCGCGAGCCTCCAGGCATCTGTTTATTTGAATGGCTGTGACCAGCTTAAAAAACACCCGAAATAAGACATACGTGAGGCCAAAACCTGCTCCCAGGTCCAGAGTTCACGCCGTGTTCTCAGCAGAACAGCGCTGGGCTTCCAGCACGGGAAGCCTGGGCTGAATAAAATCCACCGAGTCTGTTTATTTGGATGCTTTTGCACGGCTGTGAGATCAGAGAGTCGTTTATTCGAATTTGAAAGCAGTGCAAGGCACTGCAGCTGTGTTTATCTTGCACATCCTGCGTTCCTCCTGCTGTCAGAGCTCCCAGGGAACGTCAGCAACCTGTGCTAGGGAGTAGGCTGCACCTCGGAGCCTTGGGAAGACATAACCCTGCCCAGAGCGGTGCACTGGTGTCCTTCAGGGAGATGACGTTAGGGAAGTGCCATCATCCCAGAGGCTGACCCAAACGGTGGTCACAGTAAAGCCAGGTAGAACCAGGATTTGGCTATCGACTCCCAAGATTTGCAGCAGTCTGTCCTGGCAGTGAAGCCAAGGTAAGGTACCCCTCTAGGGATGTCAGCTGGGGCTGTATCAATATTTCACGAGCAGCGGCTGCTCCCTCTGCTACACCTCAAAAAGGCGGGAGCTGCATGCTCCTACTTCTGATTTTGTGCCCCTTTTGCTCGCAAACCTGCTAGAAAACTCCCCAGCAAACAGCCCGCTGGGCCAGGAGGTGAGCAGGGAGCCCTAGCTGCAGGTGAAGGAGGGACCATGCAGGCTTGGAGCAGAGCAGAGGACAAGCTGCACACAGCTGCTGCCTGCACTTTGCCTCCACCGGCCTCACCTGCTGGCAGATGCACAGCCGTTTCCTTCTTCACACCAGCTCCTGGAAGTTTCTTTTTCAGCTCCTCCGTGCTGGTGTTCCCTTCCAACTTTTTGGCTCGATGGGCTTTCGCCTTGTCCTCCGCTTTGACGAGACCTGGAGAGAAAGAGGATTTTTATTCAGCACTCACTTTAACACCCTCGGACCAACTCGTATTTAGCAGATTAAAAAATCTCTCCCTCTAACCCAGGGACACTGGCTGCAGATCTGCCAAGGCTGTTGGGGGGGGGGTGAACAGGTCCATAATTAGGACAAACAGTATCATAACAGCTGAACTTTTACAAGCAGAATCATTTCCCCCAACCCAGACAGTTTATGAACTATGAAAACACCCCGGCAAAGTGGGGTTGGAGGCTTCTAGCAAGGCAGAGCGTGGGGAAGACAGGCTGGGGTGCAGGCAAAAGGGCATCTTGCAGAAAACTGAAAGCGGGAATTGGAACAGCAAATTCAGGAAATAAAAGTGACGTTCCTGCACTGGAAAGGCTGTCTCACTGCTGATGCCAAGGAGTTGGGGTCCCTCTTAGAAAACTGGGATCCCAGACACCAGATCCCACAGGATCCCACAGGACCATTCGTCCCTGGATCTGTATGCAATTGTCACGATGAACACAGGTCTCCCCCGGTCCCACTGGGTGCTGGGAAGGGTGAGGAAGGAGCAGGAGAGGAGGGTGACCGGGCGACAGGCGCATGGGGAAGAGGAAACCTGGCGCAGCTCCCCCGGGCTGCTGGCGACTGTCACCGAACCTGCCTGCAAAGTGGAGAGATGCTTGAAGGCCGGGCTCTGCGTGCAGGCAGTGTGCCAGGCTCTGAGCCAGCTTCTCCCCAACGCATCCACCCTCCCACCTTGTCTGTGCCTCGTCCCTGCGTGGCTGCAGACCCATGGAACCTGCTAAGGGCATCGCTGCCAACTGCCGAGGCGAGTGGGGCCGAGCGAGCAGGAGGAGGCTCATCCCGTGGGGCCAAACGAGCAGTAGGAGGCTCATCCCGTGGGGCTGAGTGAGCAGGAGGAGGCTCGGCAGGTGCTGAGAGCATGCCAGCAGCAGCAGCACTGCCCAAGCCCCCCAGCATGCAGAATACTTCAGCAGTTTCTGGGCTGATGTAATAAATGGAAAACACAACTTGCAAACGATGCTTTGGAAAGGCTGGTGGAGAGGAGGGGGGCTCTTCCCTGCATTCAGCCCCCCTAAATCCATGGGCAGTTCAGCCCTGTGCCTGCATTTCCACCGAAGGTGCTGGAGGCAACACAGTGAGTGCCGGGTCAGATCCACACCTACCTCGCGAGGGTCCACATCCCCCTGAAGTTGTGGGTTGGGACTTTTGTAAACTCAGGGTCTGAACGGAGACATCACCCCCCGAGGAGCTGGTGGCACCCTTGTCTTTGGGGAGTGAACTGCCACGCTGAACCTGGGGGATGTAGACAAACGCCTGCCCCGTCCTCACTCCGTTTGAGGCAGCGGGTCAGTGACGGGACCAGCTTATTCTTGAGGAACCCACAGAAGTCGTTTCAGTCTACAGCAGTGCCTCTGTGGGGAAGGGAAACAACTCCCGGCTTCCCAGGAGCCAGGAAAGCACAGAGACCACATCCAGCCTGCTCTTCAGTGTTTAATTCCTTCGAAGCCATTAGTGCCTCTCCCCCGAGTGTCTCCTGTACTGGAAGGTGCTGCCTCCTGCACTGCCTGGAAATCCGCTTTTTATTTCCCTGATTGAATGAATTCCAGAGCCGGTTGCTCTCGTGCCAGGGATGCTCCAGGTTTCTTCCTTCCTTTCCAGCTCAGCTCAGGTGTATTTATGGAGCACAACCACCGTCCCTCTCGCTCGTGCTTTGTCAGGTTGAAGCAGGCAACTTCAGAGCCTCCTCTCAGAAAACATCCCAGTAAAACATCTCTGCTCCCTTGAATTCATTTTCTTGAATGTGGGCGACCAACATTGGAGACAATGTCTGAGGGACAGATGCGTCACCCAGCCCTTGCACGCAGCAGCAATCCTTCTCGACGCCTTTGGAAACACTGCGACACCCCAGGACGGTGGGATGATGATGAGATGAGGTTTCTCACATCTCACTGGTGTCAGCAGCTCGTTACTCTCGTGTTACAGCTGGACATACCCGGCTGCTCTCCTCTCTTCCCTCATTTCCCAGGCACAGGCTCCTGAGCAGAACAGTCAGGGTTGTTCTCTGTGCCAGCTCTACCTTCCATTCCCCTTACAACACTCTTAGGGTAAAAGGCACCAGCTCCTCCGGTGTGACATCCCCAGGTGGCTGTCATGTATCCCCAGCACGGGGTGGGGGGGCTCCTGGGGAAGGGGTTTCTCTGAAACACCCCATGGAGAAGATATACAATCCTACAGCTGACCAGAGTCATCCCTGTATTACCTTTCAGTCCAAACGTCCCCGAGATGGACGGCTGCTCCCCCGTAAATTTCTTAGGAGTTTTCTGTTTCCTTCCTGACTCAAAAGAGAGAAACAGAGAGATTTGGTCAAATAACTGTACTGCCAGGAGGGCTTCAGCAGTCCCAGGGACCAGGGTGGGCGCATGCTCCGTGTCAGGAGCGGATCACCTTGAGGGGGGCCTTTACCACCACAAAATACAGGGGCTGTTGAATGAGGCCCCTACCCCACAAAACCAGGACCAATAACAGCACCCGGGGCTAATTCAACGAGTGGAAGTGGTGGCTCTGCCTTACGCCACAAGCTGCGTGGTTTCCAGAGCCTCAGCAGCTCAGGTGGCTGGGGGGTGGCTCCCGTGGGCGCTGCAAGCAGCATAAACCCACGCCACGATGGGGACAGCCAGGGGCCCGCCTGCCAGCCCCGCGGTGGCAGGGGACAGAGGGAGCCTCCTCACCCTGCCCCAACACCTCAGGATGATGGGTTAGCCACCACCACCCTGGTTTAAACTGCCACACTGAGCGAGGACAGACGGGCTGACACAGCAGCTTGCTGTGCTGCAGGGAATTCAATGCATTTCCAATCCTATTCCTACAGAATCCCATTTCCAATCCATTTCCAATCCTATTTCCAATCCATTTTCTACAAAAATACCTCTTCCACAGCAGTAACCCATTTTTAACTCCCAGTGGAGCTGCACGAAACTGGGGGGGCAAATTATCAGGATGCTGGAACGAGGTCTGGATACAGAGAACTCGCAGCAGCCTTGGCTGGAGCAGAGCCCCTCCCCGCAGCACCCCCCTCTCTGAGCTCCTGAACCAGCATAGCCCCGGGCTCTAATCTTACTGTGCTTCATCCTCTCGGGGTCTTCCTCCTGCAGCGAGGCCTGGCTGCCCCCCTGCTGCACGGCATCCTTGCCGCTCGAGGACTTCGCCGTGGGGGTGGCAGCTGCCATGGCCTCAGCTGCCGCGATCTGAAACTCCTTGCTCTCCCGGCTCTCCGCCAGGCACTCGCCATTCTCGGCGTGGTCCTGGGCCACGGCTTTTTCCGTCTTTGCCTGTTTGGGATGGATGGTGGGGCAAGCTGAACTCTCAGCAGCTCTAGGGCAAAGCACAGAGGGCTTGTTTAAAGAGGGATTGTTAGATAAATGTCCTGACACTTCTCCCCCCTCACCAGCCCAGATCACGGGAATGGAGGGAGGCACGTACCCCTTCTCCCAACCGTCCCTACACCACCATCACCACGCAGCCCAGCCACAGCCTGGTACCTTTTCTTGCCACTGCTCTTCCCAATGGCCTTCGGCACTTTGTTTTCTGCTTTGCTGGTTGGCACTGGCCGGTCCAAGTGATTCCAGAGCCGGTGTTTTTCTAGCTGGGTTTTGGAGGTGAAGGCAGCTTCGCAGTAGGAGCAGGAATACGTCAGCTTCTCTGAGATCGCACCCTGTGTGGAGCAGGGAGGGACAGGTGAGCACATACGCTAGACCCTAAAGAGGACAGGCTTTTTCTGACACAGGCACAAACACAAATGGTGTGTAATACCCTTCTGCCCCTCCAAACGGTTGCCAGTGGTCCATGATCCCCACCACAAGTCCTCACATTCAGCTGGAAGGGCCCCAGTCCCTCTCATAGACACCTCACGAACTGCCCCGGCCCATTTGTGCCCTCCCTGTTTTAATCTCACGTTTCTCCTGGGGTTTAAGGCCTCAGAGGGCCCTCACCCTGTAGATGATACTGTAAGAGCTGGCCACTGGAAAGGCCAGACAGCCCTCGGGTCTCCTTACCCCCTGGCAGCGCTGATAGTGGTACTTCAAGCCATAAATACTGGGGAACTCCAGCCAGCAGCCTGAATTGGGACATTTCACCCTGGAGTGGGCTTTGAATTCATCCTTCCATTGGTTCATCAGGGGGAGCTGGGAACAGGAGAGACAAGAGACACAGCTGAGCGAAGAGCATCACATGCCCGGGTTCATCCCAAGGGGGCTCGGGGGGGCACACGGGACCTCTGATCATTCCTGTCCCCCCTTCCCAGCGCGCAGCTGCAGAGCTGACCCCAGGGCTGTGTTTCAGTGCAGTGGTGCTCTCTCCAGCAAGAGGTGCCAGGACAGATGCTGCAGGCTCTACAGGCTCATGAATCCCCTCGAGAATTTAGCTCGCTGTGCCTCCCAGAGCACACACATGCTCCCAGCCAGGCTGGGAAGTAAATCAGGCCAGAAGTCACCTGGATGATTTAACCACCCCACATTTCATCCAGTCAGTAAATCACCCCATGCCCATGCTCTCATGAAAAACTGCTTTGTGTGTTGTCCACGCTACTGTGCAGGAATTAAACTGCACAACTCTGTGGGGAATAAATCAGTCCTTTGCTGGTGCTGCCGGATCATTAGCCAAACCTGAGGTGGCTGCGAAAAGAATCAGCTCCTCTGGGAAGGGGAGGCTGGAGGGGGGTACTGTTTCCTAACTAGGATTTTGGGGGATGCTGGTTGCTGCGTGGAGGGGTTAAGCTCTTGCTGAGCCCAAGACAAGGCTGCTCTGAAGATTAAACCACCAGGAAGGCAGGTTTAGCCCTGGGTGAGTCAGAGGGAGCGAGGCAGGGAGGGCACCAGGGATCGGAGTGCGTGGGGTCTTACGGGGATGTCTTTCAGCGCCTGGTTCTCAGCCTTGGGTCGTCCTTTCTTCCTGCCTTCGGTTTTGTCACTAGTTGCATTTCCTGCAAACAGACACAGCACATGTCACCCACCGTCCCGGCAATCCCGCCCTCGCTTCGCACGGGGCCTGCCTCGTCCCTGCCCTGGCGAGGACGGAGGTTCCCCTTTGGAAGGCAGCTCCCGTGCAGTTCAGCACACAGCCCCTACACCTGCAGGTACCTGCAGGGCAGACAGCTGCTCCTCCTGGGGTTTTCTGACCCCTCTCCTTTCATTTACACAGAAATCCCCCGTCCCCTTTGCACAGCTGGTGTGGCTGAGCAGCCCCAGGGCACCAGGAGGACACTGGATGCAACAAGCACGTGGGGAGCAGCAGGGATGGGGATGGCCGGGGAGGGAGGACGGGGCAAGGCAAGAGCTTGGGGGACTCGGGTGGAGAGCAGAAGCCATGGGGATGCTTTTGCGAGGGGTTGTGGCTCTGCGTGTGCTCAGAGCAGACTCTTGCGGCATCCTGAGCACGAGCTGAATGGCAAAAGGGCAGAAACGAGCCCAGTTCAACCAGACACTGCAACCAGGGGAGACGACAAAGTCCCTGATGTCGCGTGATGGGGCACACCAAGTGCAAACAGGTTAAACTGCCAAGGTCCAGAGCAGACACTTGGGCTCACAACAGCAGCAAACTCCCCGATTTCACCTACTTCACACCCAGAACGGGTTGAGCAAAGCGGCACAAACACCACAACAACTTTTATCAGGGTCTGTACGCAGGGGCTGAGGGCAGTTCACCAAATCAATCCACTTCTACATCCCACCTCTCATCTTTCCAAGAAGGAACAGAGCACCGTGGTCACCCCAGGGGTCTGGGGAGCCTTGGCTAGACCCCGCTTCCTTCACCCAGCGCCATCCCCCCACCGCTCTGCACTCCCAGCAGGTCTCTTGAGGGCTAACCTGTAATTTTAAGCGATGCTGGGAGTCAGCGTTAACCCAAAGACGAACTGGACAGATGTGAGCAGCCAACAGGAAATGCTGTGTACAGAAAACTGAGACTGAGATCTGGGAGAGTTTCGTGAACAGGACTGGGAATAAAAGCCGTTGGCCACGAGAACAGGAACAAATCAAAAACCATCCCTGAGAAGGAAACCCCCAAACAGCCGGGAGAGCATAACTGAGACTAAAATAACTAAACTCAACCTGTAAAACACCCTTCTCTGGTGAAAATCAGGTAAGAAGAGGCTGGAAGCTGACCCGGCAATGCCTTGGAGGATCCCTGGCACTTGCTGTACTCAGAAGCCAATCCAGGATTTTTTTTTGGAACAAGGGAAAGAGATCAAACAGAAAGCCAACTAGTTACCTACAAAGACACTGCCAAAACCACACACACTCTCCCTTTCCATGCCTTCTGCCCAGCAGCCAGGGGAAAACAGCAGACAAGACAGTTGGCTCATTTATTTCTAGTCCCCTGAAGTCACGCCAGCTGGTTTGCTCTGCTTTGATACCCGTAAAAGCCTCCCTTGGTGACGCAGCATCCTCTGGGAATCCTCTAGCCCAGGCAGCCTCGTCTGCGGGAGGTGGTAACCTTTATGAACTATAAGAAAAAGTCCCTAAAAAGCCACCTACCTGTCCCCCCTGCAAGGCTAAACTGTCCTGAAAACACCTCATTCGGTTTGGTCTCCTACCTGCCTGGCTCCTGCCCCAAAACGGCTCGTGGCCCTAAGGAGAGGGGGAGGTTTGCAAGTCTGGCCTCAAACCATGCTGGTTCTGGAGCAACAGTGCAGGTTTCACTCCAAAACTCTTGGTGAGTGTCCAAGAAAGATGCCTGCGCATCGCAGCCGCCCTCTGCATTTTTTATTTTCTCCAGTGCTCCTAAGTGCACACTTAGGCTCGGCTTTTCCTCCACACTGGTGTAAGCGAGGGCCTCACCCTACACATGAAAGCAAGCTATGGTTCTCGCACATCAAGGGACAGAATGAGCTGGGAGTTTATGAAAAACCACCAAATTATCCTGGATTTGCAGCAAAAGCTCACAACGCTGCGGTTACCTACTTACTGCTTTGTCTCCTAAACACTTGAAAATACTCCAAATTCGAAACATCCCACAGCAGCACGTCCCTGCCCCTCCAGGCAGCTCTCCCCGGGAGCCCAGCATGCCCAGGGTCACGGCTCGCACAGAAGCGCGGGTGAAAGCTCTCCTCTCCCTTTCACAACTCGCACACATATCCAAACTTTTGGGGACATTTCTCGCCAAACGCAAGAGCTCCCCGTCTAACCGCCCCTCACTGCCCTCACGGATCAGCTGCTGGCTGGGGACAGCGAGGACAGGGACAGGAGGGGCAGAAAACACGTCTCCTCTCCTCACATCCCACTCCTGGGTACCAAGCACCAGCGCTCACAGGAGACACGAGCCCGTCGGTGCTCAGCGTTACGGCCAGCACCGTGGCTGCACGCCCCTGCAGCAGATTACCACAATTCTGGGCTGTCAGCTGGGTGGAAACGTCATGTTCTTTAGACATGGGGACTGGGGGTGCCCTGATCATGGACTCAAGGCTTCTCTGGAGCAAGACCTGGCTCAGAAAAGAGGCAGGATGCTCCCCGTGCCAACCAGGCCACTGCAGCCAAGGGGGGAGAGGGCCCTGTCTCCCCAGTCCTCATCAAACCAAATTCACCACAACAAAGTGAACCCTGGCAGACATTTCCACCTCCAGCACCTCCCCAGGGAGAGCAATGAAATATCTTCATCACAGAGCATCCTTCATTCAGAATCATTCACAGAATCACAGAATCATTCAGGTTGGAAAAGACCCTTGAGATCACTGAGTCCAACCATAATGGAGTCCACTCCATCGCTTCCAGTCCATTTAAACCAGAAGGAAGAGATAAAAAAAAAGAAAGGTCTTTTCTACTTCTGGAGGTGCTGATAAGGAAAAAACACTCTCCCGAATGTAGGTACGTTCATCCTGCAGACAGCTGGAGCTCAGGCCCCTTAGCAAGAAGTTACACCCCTCTGCTAGCGATTATGGCTTCAACCCCCTCGAGGAGGAGTGGCATTTGGGAAACATTTAGGGCACACGCGTTGCCCAGCGAGGCCACTGATTTTGGGTGCCTGGTCTGAGATAAACCTCTGGGGTCTGAGCCTCGCCTGGCGTGCAGGCACCCCTCGGCATCCAGGGCTGCTGTTAGCAAAGAGAAGGCAGCGAGACCCTCTCCGCGCCCACGGAGGGGATCTGCCCAGCGTTAAGCAGACAGGAGAAAAATCTCCTTGGGCCTGGCGATTCCTGGATAGAGAAATCAGCCATCCATCAGAGTGACAGCCCTTAGCAAGCGGGTCCCCTGGGGCTCGTACGCTCGCAAGCCTCCATCCCGGGGGCCGCGACACGGGAGACAGCAGATGGTCTGAACTCATTTAAGCCTTTCCATCCTTTGATGTAACACTTAGCTACCAACACGATCTATAGGCGGCGAGACACCCATCTCGTTAAGCCAGACGCACGCCTCTCCGAAGGGAGAGACCGCCGCCATCCCTTCCCTCCCGTTCCCAGGGACTGGCTCTCCGCAGCTCCCAGGCTTTGGGGTTTTTTCAGCCCAGCACAGCCCTCACCGGTGGGTCAAAGCGAGGAGCAGAGGCACACTGAGACCCGCAGCGCCTGCACCCCCTCATTTTAGCAGCCGCCCCCCCAACCCCTGCCCCCAGGCTCATCCCCTCTGCCCCATCCACCTCCGTGGAAAGAAAAAAACGGTTCCTTACCGAGCTTGGGCAGCTCTGCGGGCGGGTTTATCCTTGTCTCTGTCCTGCTTTCTTTGCTGGCAGCGGGTTTGTTAGAGCCTGCAGTTTTCCTTCCACCTTTACAGGTATAGGAATCCGCCATCTCTGAAAGAAGCAGGGGAGGCATTAAAATTCACTCCTCGGAGCTGTGAGCAACACATGCTGAAAGCAAGGAGAGCTGCCGGGGAGGGAGGGAAATTAGAAAACTATCACGCAGCTTAAAGGTTCCCTCAAAGAGAAGAAACGGGACGTGTTTCCGAGTATTTGTTCTACGGTCGTGCGACGCCGTAGACATGGCTGAAAAGCTGCTTTCGTTATAGGCTGGTTTCCCCCCTCCACATGTAATGGCAAAGACTTTATTAAAAATTATGGGCTGACTTTGCCCAGAGAAGTAGTGAATAAATGGCTTTTCCTCTTCGTTTATTTCTCTGCTTTCATTTAAGACACCAAAAGGAAAAAAAAAAAAAAAAAGTGAGTTTTAATGAGCAGATGTAGTGATAAATTTCCAATTTTCCTTATTAATGGGAAACTGTTATAAACTGAGAATTGTTAATGTTATCTGAATTTTCCGTATTAATAATTCAATTTGGCTTCTCTATAAATAATGAACACCAGGAATTATCGCAGAAGGCCCAGTCTCGCTCCCGATGGAAGCGGGCGGCAGGACACCCCTCCAAGCTCTGCCCCGCTTGGTTTCAGGTACCTTCCTCCCCTCCCGACAGCACAAGCAAAGGCACGTCTGAGGATGGGGGCCGCACCGGGAGGGCCCCGGGGGGAAAGGAGCCCCCCGAGCCCCCCCAAACGAGAGCATCGAGCCCTTGGGAGGTGATTCCCCCGACCACCGCGACACTCAGCCCGGCACCAGCGGTATGACTCAGGGAAGCGCCAACCGGTGCCTTCTTCACCTTCGCTCAACACTTCACTCCCCCACACACGTTTTTTAAAACACAGATTTGACTCGTCGCCCCCAATTCCTCCCACGAGATCGCGTTTAGCATGGTTTAACTCAACGCCCCGAGCAGCCAGACTCATCCCGCCTGTCCTTGCGCCCAGAGGGACGGGGCAGGTCGGGGAAGCATCTCCCGTGTGCCCGGATCGCCCGCCGTGCCATCGACACGTGGGACACGAGGGTCCAACAGGCCTTTCTGAGGTGCCCCCGGGGACTTTCCACGCGGCAACCGGGCACTGCGCATCGCGTGCCGCCCAGATGCTCTGAGCAGAGCTGGCAAAAAGCTTCCAGCGCATGTTCAGCTGGTGACACATATGTGGTGGTTCGCACAGACACAAAGGTTAATCGGATCAAGTGAGAAATTCCTGCCTTGGCAACAGGTTCTCTGGCATTTGGTGCTGAACACAGAGATCATTTATTCAGCTAATTTGGGCTCTTTTGGTGGGAGACCTGGGTAGGAACTGCCTGGGCTCCTTCCCGGGGCTGGCTGGTCTCCGGAGCAGGCACAGAGAGGGGTCCCTGGGGCTCCTTCCCAAATCGTGGCTCCACGCTCACCTGCGTGAGTGCTCCTACTGTCCCCAACCCTCCAGGGACAAACATGCCGGTCCCCTTCCTTCCTCTGCTGCCTCCTGGCACCTCTGCGCCATCTCCAGTCAAGTTGCTCAAAGTAAAAAAAATGAACCCATGCTCGCGAAAGACCAGAGAGCTGACAGCTGAAGACGACACCACCTCTGCGCTTTACAACAGAGTGAAAACCAAAAGGAAACACCCGCAACCGATGCGTTTATCCAACCCCACGCTGCGGCTTCGCCCCTTGGGCCGGGCGCAGAGAGGGGAGGGAGGCCCAGCACCAGGGCCCCCCACGCCGAACGCTGCCCACCAGCACAACCGCAGCCCGAGCGACGAGAGACACCCGGGACAGGGCTACCATCGGATGGGCGATGGACACAAAACCTCCGTGTCTGCCTTGCTGGGCAGCTCAAGGACAACTCGTGAGGGGCCGTGCACAGGGCAGCCCTCGCCAACAGCCAGGTCGCCCACCCCCTGCTCGCTGCACACACCAAACCCTGGGAGCCGGGGCTGGTGCCGAGCATCCCTTCTGCAACCACCGCCATGGTCCAGCTCAGCCCTGCTCCCCGACACTTCTTGTTCCCCTTAACACATCTGTCCCCGCAAAGGGATCCTTTGGCCAGCTTAGAAGGCTTTGAACGTCTTTTGTTTTTCCACACCAAATACTTCTTTGAATTTTTTCCCACTTTTTGGCTACATGAAAAATAAAAATCCCATAAACCACTTAGCGAGAGCCAAACTCCGCTCCCTGGCCACTGATACAACCCCAGGGATCCCAGAGGAATTGCCCCGGAGCCAGAGAGCACAAATCAGCCCATTGTTTTGGGGTTTTTTTTTGTAATATCCAAACTTCTCGCTCATTTTTGAGTAACACATGCTGAAACCGGACAACAGCCCGCGCCCTACCACGCTTTCGTTACATCTTTGGTGAAAACCCTTTTGCAACCGGCAGTGGAAGGAGGAGATACCGGCAGGTCCTGCCTGCGAGCGGGGCGAGGATGTGGCACAGGAAGGTTGGGGCTGGCGGTGTCTTTGCTGATAAAGCCTCCAGCTCAGCTATAGGTACCGTTTTAGAAGTTTGCAGAAGTATTTTTGAAGCGTCCAACTCCAGGAAAAAAAACCTGTGCCAACACAGGAGCCCGTGTGGGATGAGCAAAGGCTGAGTCGGCGGTGCCGGGAGCAGGGGTGAGGAAGAAGCCTGTGGCCACGGGAAAGGGGGAGCAAAACCTGGAGACCCACCAAGCCAAAGGCCTTTTGACATGGCACAGCAACATCCCAGCCACCCGCTGTCCCGACAGGTTCTTTTCCTCCGTGACAGATCCCCCTGCGGAGCTGTCCGGCTGGGCACAGACCCGGAAATTGGGCATAAACTGGGAAAAGGGGAAATAATTCACATATAAATGCCCATCTGTGACATTGAATCGGGTCTGCAGGAGCACATAAGGAGCCAGGGATGGCCGTGACCCCTCTCAGCCCCACGACGTCCTTATGGCTACACAGGGAAAATCACCCACAGGTTCTGACCCCAAATTCTCCTGCCGGGACTCTCGCCCCGGTCCCATCGCTACGGATGCACCGTGCCACGCAACAACCGGCCCGATCACTCGTCAACCCGCTCTGCTTATCCTTAATAATTTACCAATGGCTCCAGATGGAGGCAACGCCAAAAAGCCAAGTGAGCTGCCTGGCCCTGCCCGCGCGGCAGAAGGGATGTGCCAGGCGGGACGCGGGGAGAGACACGACGAGGCCAAGGCGACGCCAGGGCACTGCCGGAGGGGCCGTGCTCCCTCCCGCGAACTCGAGGGCAAACCCGCGGCTGCGTCCACGCGTTGGGAGAAACTTTTTGGGAATAAAGACGAGGAAGCGGCGGGAGAAGCTTCCTCAGGAGCGGAATCGCCGGAGGTTTCCCGAGAGGGAACCACGTGGCGGGTGAAGCCCCGCGAGCCCCTCCGCTGTCCTCGGGCACGGCTGGCTCCCTCGTTGTCCCCCGCGCCGAGCGAAGCCCCGACGCAGGTGGGTGCCCCCGGCGAGGGTCTTCTGGAAGGAACAACTCGCCCGGTGGTGCGAGGCCGCCGTGCTCCCGCCGAGCGGCTCTGCGCGGGCACCCAGCGAGGCTTTTCGGAGGGTGTAAAGTTTCTGTTTGAAGCACGTTAGCCCTGTCTCT